ATACATATATAACACACGAACTCAATTTTTATATACCCCATATTTATTCATTACAAATGGGTAGCACAAAAATGGAAAACCGGTTCTATAATGGTTTATTAGAAAATCTGTTGACAACAACAACAACAACAATACCAAAAATGTAAACAAAATCGTCAGTCGGCCTTTTCGGCTGTTGCTCTTGTTGCTCTTGTTGTTGTTGTTTTTGTAGTTGCTGCTGCTGTTGTTGTTGGTCGCGTTGTTCGACATGATTTTTGTGCGCTTATCGGCAAACCAGATACTAAAAAAAAGTTACCTCAAGCAACAGATACGTGCGGCAGCAGCAGCAGGAACAACAACAAAAGAACGGCAATGAAAAAATACAGGAATAACTTTTATATGTATATAAAGCACTCATAAATATGTTATAGGCCGTTTTTTTTTTTGCACGCGACTTTCTTATTGGCATTGAAAACGCAGCCGAACGCAGCGCAGCGCAGCGCAATTTGCTCGATGGCGATTTCGTGTTCCAATTGGCATTTAGCTAATCAAAAGTTTTGTTGTTGTTTGCTGTTTTTTTTTTTGGCATATAACGGGCGAGCGCAGTTAATAGGGTCAAATAACTGTATATAGAAAAGTGTATAAAGGGGAAGTGGGAGAAGAGGAGCATGAGGAATGGGAAATGACTGCAAAACTAAAGCGATTTGCATTTGAAAAAGGTTAGAATGAATTGAACTCTTAATTGAAAGTCTCTATTTTTGGAACAGAATATAGGGGGAACTAGAGATAAATACAGTGTGAGCTCGTTAAATGGAAATCATTTCGCAGAGAGATCTCTTTCCAGAAGGTAATAGGCAAAGCTATATTTATACTATGTGTAATATTGTAAGTGTAAATATTTAGTTTAATTAGCTTATATTAGGCAATTTTACAATATAAATTATTATTCGAGAAAAATATATGCGGGAAGAATCATTTATCGAAAGTGTATAAAAATGAAATTGTATAAAAATATATAAACTTTGCTTATAGAAGATAAAGAAAAAATTTGGGAATCATTTGGAACTATGATTTAGATCTACGATATACTTTTATAAATTATACTGTTAATGAAAATAATGAATCGCCTGCAAATTGCAAAACATTTTATTTAAAATGAGAAAGAAAAGGAAATGTGTAAAGACTTTTTCTCTCGGGCAACAACTACAAAATGAAATTCTAAACATTTCTTCACATCTGTAAAAATAGAAAATTAACAAAAATATTTATTTGTTCTTGATCTTTTTGCGCTTTGCCCAATTTAAAGGTTATTTGTTGTATTTACATTGAAATATCAGTCACTAAAATAGAATTTATTAGGTTCTACGACCTCTAAAGGCGAATGACAAAAGAAATCGATTCACATTATTTCAGATGATATCAGCATATGAATGGAGCACACAGACACGTGTGTGCATGTATCTGCTTCAGTTTATTTTAATGAATGTTAAGCTCTCTTCTCTAGTTTACCTGAATTCTCTGTCAGTTTGTTTGTTTGTTTATATTTGCCTATTAGCTTATAGTAAAAAGTCTGCCGAACAATAATAATAAAAACAAAATAAAGTAAATGCCAAACGGCGGCAGCCAGAAACAAATTGCCTCTCTCTCCATCTACCTCTGCCCTCTCTCTCTCTCTCTGGCGCTGTCTCCCTCTTTCTCTTATCTTTATATACAGTGGCAGCGCGATCGCAATTGCTTTTGCAATTAGCCCACATCAACTGTTTGGCTTTACTCTAAACAAAATATGGGGTAACATGATTTTCTTGCAGCAAATAAATATTTGACAAAAATAGATATTAAACAAAATGGGAATAAACTTAAAAAGTATTACAAAATAATAAATAAAGTAAAAATATATATTTGAATTTGATATTTATTTTTTAATTTGATATTATTTATTTTATGTTATTGAGTTAAGAAATATTATAGTATTTATATAATTATAATTTTTTAATAGTATAAATATAGATAACTATTCGTTAAAATATATATGAATAGGCACTTTAAAAAAATTGCTTTTATGCAGTCTTTCCCAAGTATTATTTTTACTTATGTTATTAGTTTTTAATATTTATATTGAGATATATATGCATATATTTTAATCATATATATTTTATATATATGTA